AAAATGAATGGAGAAACTGGGGTTCACCCCCCCTGAGCCAGCCGAGCACTAGCAGGCCTTGACCGCGTCGCCACGTTTTCACCTTCTGTGCGCTGTATCATCCGTCGATCCTGAAGGAAGTTCAGTTGTATTGACGCCACAGATCTAACTAAGGAAAGGGATGTGGCTCACAATGTGCGCTGGCTGGGAAAATTGCCAGTCCAGCCAATCAGCGCTCGTAATGCCGCCAACACACGAACGAAATTTGGATGATGTTCTCGGCGACTCAGGGAAACCCCGGTATTTGGGGAGTGGGGGGGTGGGAGTGGGGGGGTGGGGGGGGGGGGGGGGGGGGGGGGGTTCTAGGGGGCATGTATTCTCTATACAGAGTAAACTCGATTCTTAGAAAAAAAAACCCAGAGGCCTCAAAGTAGCCTACACAAAACTCTAATAGATCAGAGAAAACTCAACTTCCAAAATCAAAACCCAGCAGGTTCAGAGTTCCTTACAAAAATGACTCTGGTTTACAGAGAATCGGTGTAATCTACTCTGAAAACGTGGGGCCTGTTTGCAACATCAAGCTGAAGCACCACCTAGTCTGGATGAAGAGAGAAGGCGGAGTATACAGCGTAAGATATGACCTTGATCCCGGCTGGAACTGCTACACCAATTTGAAGGTGGGGAAGAAACGGCTCTCATATCTGCTGCTTGAAAGCGAGAGTGATGGAGTGCAAAAGGAGGCGTCGTCGTGTCTTAGACGTACACCACCATGCGGTTTCTGTAGGGTGACGAGGTTCAGAGCAGTATGGAAAGGCCTGAATGTAGGTGGAAGATAACATTGCAGCCAGTCTTGGAAGACACGAAGGAGAGAAGGGAGATGCTGCTGGTTGGAGAGGAGGAACGTGTCCCTAAGGTGCTGAATGAGCCACACAGAAGGTCCAGCAACTATGCTGGACAGTAGGGCGCCATGGAGGATAGGGAAGTTGCTTCCTTACACATAATGTCAATTTTATTTTTCTATCACTGCTACTACTTGCATGAGTAAAACAGGTTGTGGTTGCACATTAGAGATGGAAAAAAAGTGCAAAGCTTGCAATAGCAGTGTGCCAGCCGGGAATCGAACCCGGGTCTGCACCGAACTCATGGCAGGGTGCTATTTTACCTCTTTATTAACAGTTAGTAAGTGTACAATGGATACAAGGCAAATCCAGAGGCCTAGTGTAAGGAATATGCAAGTTAGACCTATAGTGAGGCCTACCAATAGGCCTCTGTGACATCTAAGTGGTCCTCTCCCAAGTAAGCAAAGTCAGCAGCTGATAGAGAAGTCACATCGGGTGGTGTGTGGTTGACGCCCTCGGTAAAACGAATTTGTGCACGACGACAAACAGTGCGAGCCTGCTCACGCTGGTGGACCAGAGAATTCCATTTGTAGAAGTTGGTCTCAAACAGCTGGCGAAGAGTATCTGTGGCGCCACTCAAGTCGCAAAGTTGTGAAGCCCCTTTGCGGCTGCATTGGTGAAGGAAGTTGTTGAACGAAGAGCCGAAGCAGCCGAAAGTTTCAATGACGAGGGGAAAGAGTTTGACGTCTGGACGGTCACGAAGTGCTGCAGCATAGTGGGCTGTCTTCTCACTTTCACAAGTGGCTGCTGCTGAAGTGACCACCGTAGCTGCGCTAGAGTGCGGAAATCCCTTTTGAGGATCGGCGACGGAAACATCCAAGGCCCAGGTGGTACCAGAGCTGACGTCGCGGCACGTGATGTCTGTTCGGCGGCCAGGCAGGAGACGCTAGTCTTCCATTTGCGCAAAGAACCCAAGCTCCAAGGCAATGCGATGAACTTCACGCTTGATTGCGTCGTGTACCTTGGTAGGCTCGTTGTTGCTAGGGCAGCGAAGGACGTGAGAATGGATAGAAGGATAAGTGAATGGGGAGTTGCAGGTGCAGGTGTGGGAAGATGAAAGGTGAGGAATAGGAAGGCCTAGGCGGATAGCTGTTGCAATGCGCCACTCGGTCTCTGAAAGCTGCATGTGCGGGGAGGATGGAGCCACAGTGAGCCAGTCACCTGCATGCGGGCCCTGCAAAGAGGTTAGGCGAGCAAGGCGAAGCGGGGACGTTACTGTGGCTCGAACCTTCTCCAGCAGATCTGCTTCGAGGTGTTGGGAGAGGTGAGTAAAGAGTTTAGGAGGGTAGCCCGATTGAAGCACAGACCATGACGGAAAGCGTTCACGAATGTTTTGGGGAAGCATGGTCATGGGAGATGCGATTGAAGAGTCGAGGTGGTTAATGGAGTCTGTGGTAATGTAAGGGCGAAAAGAGGAGCACCATCGGTGATGAAGTGGGTGGATAAGATCGAAACTGTCTGCGCCCAGCTGCAGAGGTAACCGAGAGGGGCGATGGATGCAGAGCTGCGAATGCCGAAGCCACCCAAACGGATAGGGAGCGAGGCTTGGTGTCGGGCCGATGTGGACTGTTCAGAGTTCGGATTCCAGTACTCGGAGCCCAGGAGCTAAGAGAAGTGGCTGAGAATGGTGCTGTTCCATAAGGAGAGTAGCTCTTGGATTTCAGGAAAAGGTGCGACAGTGCGGAGGAGGAAAGAAGGCCGGGCAGTGATGCATAAGGAAAGGATCCGTGAGGCAATCTGTGGGTCCTGCAGTTGATGCAGTAAGGGGAGGGAGGAAGTGAAAGAATCGAGTTTGTCACGAACTGTAGAGATGATGTAACCGTCTGAGCCGGTAGGAACGCCTGCGACGGTGAGACCGTTAGCAGCAATGGAAATGCCAGGGGGCGGAATGCAATGTTCGAGCAAGTCCATAGGGGCCCATAGAGAGCACTGGCTATTCCACCACTAGACCACTAGCACGCTAGATGAAAAGTGGATCTGAACACGTGTTTTATGGTTTGCTACCTACACGATCTTCCGTTTCAGCAAACACTCAACACTACAAGTTTGGAACATATTTTGGCTTATTCGATTGCCATTACTGCTGCATCATCTACCATGGGCCGATGGTTGGTGAGAGCTGCCATTGTTCTTTTATCCATCTTCAGCAGATCCTCAATGGGACACCCCATTGTCATTGCTGCTTCGTCATCTGGTGCTTGGTTAAAAAACAGTCGCTCCAATCACCGCCTTTCTTCATTTATCCGCTTCAGCAGGTCCTCAATTTGACACTCCATCGCCATTACTGCTGAGTCGTCTACCATTGCCGCATCACTGCCAGATACGAAAAAAGAGGTGTTTCACAGGTGGGAGAGAGTGGAAGAGAGGGGAGGGGGGGTTGGGAGACAGGGAAAGGAGGCCAAGGGAGGAACGCTGGATGAGTCAGTGGCTATACGGATGGGAGCAGGCATGCACTGTTTACAACTTTCCATGTGCACAAAAAACAAAAGCTCTGATGGCAAACCAGCAGAATGCAGCACGACATGGTGTGTTTTTTTTAGGCGCCATTAAAAACAAAGACTCCAATGGCACACAAAGTTTCAGCAAGGCTTAGCAGGATGCAGCAAGGTGCCTTCTGAGTCGACTCAAAAGTCACCTCTAATGGTACACCAAAATTCAGCAAAACTCAGCAGCAAGACATGGTTCGTGCACAAACCAAGGGTTCTAAAAACGCACCTGTTCGGTACAGACACATGATGCAGCATATGCGTTGATATTTAGCCTCTAAAATAGCACATCTGTTCTGTGCAGGTTCTTGTTCCTGCACTGCATATTTAGCAGCCTAAGAACCATGACATGCACACCAAACAAGGGATGAAAGTCCGCACCTGCATGTAGGTTCATGATACAGAGCTGAGCCCACCACATACAGAGCTCTCCCCACATACAGTGTTAACTGTTTCAGGCGCCTCTAGAATATACTTCAACCAAATCTGTTCCGTACGAGTTCACGTTCCTGCACTGAGTTTTAAGCAGCCTAAGAACCATGGCATGCGCACTATGTGAGGACTCGGTGGCTGCACCTGCTGTGTATGCAGCAGTGCTGAGGACTCAGCACTGCTGGGTCAGGATGCAGTGCTGAGAGCACCACGTGAACACCACTCAGTAAAATACCGCAACTCCTCAATGAGCATGTAATCTATTGCATCCCCACTTACAGTAAGACTAAACAACATGGCATGCATGCGCACCAATAACGAGATGGAAGGATTGTGTATGGATCACGATGTCATGCTGATAGAACCTAGTCTGTAAGAGGTGACTTTTGAGTCGACTCAAAAGTCACGAGATGGAAGGATCGTGTATGGATCACGATGCAACGCTGATAGAGCCTAGTCTGTAAGAGTAAGGGCTAAGCAGAAACTGAAGGCCGCACCTGTCGTGGATCGAATCACGATGCAGTGCTGAGCACACCTAGTGTGTGAAGGCTAAGGGCTCAACACAGACTCAAAGGGCGCACCTGTTGTGAATGGGTTCGTGGTCCAGTGCTGAGCGCACCACATACAGAGCTCTTCCCACCATGTCCCTCACGTGCACGGGACCAAGAGTGCGGCTGTCTAGGGCTTCCTGGGAGGGTGGGGACAGGGAGGAAAGGAGGAGGAGGATAAGGCAAGAAAAGGAGAAGAGTTTTCAGACAAGAGGCAGAGAAGGAGGAGGAGCTTCAAGTTCGGGGTGCTGTTCTTTCAATTCTCATGTTCTCGGGACGAAGAGTGCGGCTGTCTGGGGCCTCCTGGAAAGGAGAGGAAATAGATGGAGTAAATGAAGGGGTAAAGATTGTGGGGAAGAGACAAGGCAGTGAAAAAGTAGGAGGTATGCGGCTGTATGCGGCCTCCTGGGAGGAGGAGACAGGGAGGAAAGGTGAGGAGGAAGGGTTTTCAGGCACAAGGCAGTGAAGGAGTAGGGGGGTTCGGCGTTGCTGTCCTCTCAAGTCTCACGTGCACGGGACCAAGAGTGCGGCTGTTTAGGGCCTCCTGGGAGAGAGAAGAAATAGATAGAGGAGAATGCACGCTGAGTAAGAGAAAAGAAGAGACAGGTGACGAAATCTGGGCAGAGGCTGCTGCCCTCACTTTTGAGTGTGGCTGTTTACAGCCGCCTGGGAGAGAGGAGATACAGACAGAGAGAAGGGGGAGGAGCTTTAAGCAAGAGAAACGGCAGAAATAAAGGCAAGCACGGAGTTTGCACAGGCTCCCGCCACGCTCGGGCCAAGGCGGCCTGCAAAGCATCGCTTGCTTTTGCAGAGCACGTGCAAGCACCACCTGCCTTGGCAGCGACAGCAGCATATGCAGTGCAACATGTGAACTCATCACCCATGCAGGAACAGCAGCACTGGTGCAACGCAACTAACGAGTTGGTGGCACCTAGCAGCCAAACACCCTGAGCATAAGTGAGGGAAAAGAGCCGGATTTTTGAGTCGACTCAAAAGCCAAACAGCCTGAGCATAAGTGAAGGAAAGGAACAGCACAAGACCCTTGTCAACTTGCATTCAGCATACCCCTACTTTTGCCCCTTCCAGCAACTCTATTATGCACAGATACCTGCAACAATAGCTGCCCTACTGTTGCCCTTTCAAAGCACCCTCAAGCATACCTTTGCAGGAACAGCCGGGTCGTCTGCAAGCACCCAAAACTGGTCCTTCTCTATCCGAAACGGCTCATCCGACGGCTGAGATGACACCATCTCGTCGCCAGGAATGGCCGCGACTCGCCGAAAGATAACCGGAAATGAAGTGCGTTCTGCCTTCGCCTCGGCAGTGGCTTTTGAGTCGGAACGTTTTGAGTCAGGACCTGTGTTGGCTTTTTGAGTTGACTCAAAACTGGGTGCTTTCGCCTTGGCTGTGGCGTTCGAGTCGGACATGGCTGGTTTAGCGCCCGCAGCAGCAGGAGAAGCAGAAGCAGGGGAAGCAGCTTCAGAAGCAGAGGCAGAGGCAGCAGGAGAAATAGAGGCAGGAGAAGCAGAGGCAGGAGAAGCAGAGGCAGGAGAAGCAGAGGCAGGAGAAGAAGAGGCAGGAGAAGCAGAAGCAGGAGAAGCAGAGGCAGGAGAAGCAGAAGCAGGAGAAGCAGAGGCAGGAGAAGCAGAAGCAGGAGAAGCAGAGGCAGGAGAAGCAGAAGCAGGAGAAGCAGAGGCAGGAGAAGCAGAAGCAAATGCAGCAGAAACACGTGTGGGGTGGACATGGAACCCCACAATGTCTCCAACGGAAACGGTACTGCCATGGGGAGAGAGCAAGGGGGAGTTGGAAAAGGTTTATAGAAAAGGCGGGTCTGAGTCGGCTCAAAAGTAACACGTGCTGGGTCGACTAGGAGCCCCACCATGCCTCCAACGGAAATGGTTCCGCCCCGGGGGAGAGCAAGGGGGAACTGAAAAGGGCCTATAAGGAGGGTAGGCGTTGACAAGCTTTGAGTCGACTTGGAACCTCACCACGTCTTAAATGGAAATGACAGTGCCACGGGATCAGACAGGCACAATTGTGAAGTGAGATCATGTCGGCCGACGATGGAGTCAACAGCAGTTTTAATTGCTGTGGCAACAGCAGTTTTAATTGCTGTGGCAACAGCAGTTTTAATTGCTGTGTCAACAGCAGTTTTAATTACTGTGTCAACAGCAGTTTTGATTGCTGTGTCAACAGCAGTTTTAATTGCTGTGGCAACAGCAGTTTTAATTGCTGTGGCAACAGCAGTTTTAATTGCTGTGGCAACAGCAGTTTTAATTGCTGTGGCAACAGCAGTTTTAATTGCTGTGGCAAGAGCAGTTTTAATTGCTGTGGCAACAGCAGTTTTAATTGCTGTGGCAACTACCACATAAAGAAAACAAGTCTATGTTTGAGGCGCCTCAGAAATAAAGAATTAAACAGCTTTGAGACATTGCCACGACTTCAAACAGGTAGCGGCACACTCACTGCCAATGGGCGGCACACTTACTGCCAAACGGGCGGCACACTCACTGCCGAATTGGCGGCAAACTCCCTGACGAATGGGCGGCAAACTCACTGACAAATGGGCGGCAAACTCACTGACGAATAGGTGGCAAACTCACTGACGAATGGGCGGCAAACTCACTGACGAATGGGCGGCAAACTCACTGCCGAATGGGCGGCAAACTCACTGCCGAATGGGCGGCAAATTCACTGACGAATGGGCGGCAAACTCACTGACGAATGGGCGGCACACTCACTCCCAAGTGGGCAGCAACAGAAACCGGTAGAGCACCCACTCGTCCTTCATCCCCCTTATAGTCGGCTTCATGGATTCGTCTCGTAACAAAGAAGGCTGCAGATATGTCATATACGATTTCTCGTGCTGCACGATCTTGTTCAAAGTCCTCACTAGCTTGCCAATGGGGGGGAGCTCTCCTGGATGCTGCTTCATATGGGTCTGCAAGGGAATCAGGCATGGGAAGTGGGGGCAAGAGGGCGGCGGTCAGTACGATGTGAGTTGATGCCTCGTGCTGCACAATCCTGTTGAGAGTCCTCACAAGCTTGGTGATGGGAGGGAGCTCCCCTTGATGCTGCTCCATGTGGGTCTGCAATCAGGCAGGCAGAAAGGATACAGCTTTTTCAGGCCCAATTACCCTGCACAAAGCCGTTCATATGAAGCACTTCTGAGACACAAACTTAGTCGCACTGTAATGAATTTCGAGAATTCTCAAAACTCAGGCCAGCGCTCACACCAGCGCTCAAACCAGCGCTCACAGCAGCACTCACAGAAGCACTCACACCATATCTCACGTGCACGAAAGCTGTAAATGGAGCACTTGCCTTCTGCCCTGGTGCTCACCAGAATACCCCCCAGCACTCTCTCACGCCATAACTCACATGCACGTGCACGAAAGCCGTGCATGGAGCACTTGCCTTCTGCCCCGAATGTTGGTTACCATCACCCACAGCACCAGTAACAGCAAGAATCTCTCACACCACCTCTCACTGCAGCACTCACACCACCTCTCACACCACCTCTCACACCACCTCTCACACCACCTCTCACACCACCTCTCACACCACCTCTCACACCACCTCTCACACCACCTCTCACACCACCTCTCACACCACCTCTCACACCACCTCTCACACCACCTCTCACACCACCTCTCACTGCAGCACTCACTGCAGCACTCACTGCAGCACTCACTGCAGCACTCACTCGCACGAGCACGAAGCTGCACAGGGAGCACTTCTGAGTCACGTATCCGCATTGAGTCGACTTTTGAGATTCCTCACTCACACCATCACTCGCACCATCACTCGCACCATCACTCACACCCAGCTTTCATACCAGCACTCACGCGCACGATCACGAAGCTGTAGAGGGAGCACTTCTGAGTCACGTATTTCAGCCGCATCAGCCACGAGGCCATCGCGCCGCTCCACTCCGCTCCGCTCTCTCGGAACTGAACCCTCCTATTACTAGTACTGGCTTAGCTGCTCGTCAGGTGGTTACACGCCGTCTGGTGGTTACCAGTCCTCTCCGCTCGCTCGGGCGGAACTGAACCCTCCTACTACTGGAACTGGCTAAGCTGCTCGTCTTTTGAGGCGCTTCAAAAGACGCTCAGAGCCCGCACGAAAGTGACGCCTCCTGTTACTAGAGTTGGCTTAGCTGCTCGTCAGGTCAGCACGTCTGCTGGTTACCCGTCGTCTGGTGGTTACATCTGGATTGGTGGTTACGCGTCCGTCTGGTGTTTCAAGACGCCAGCGACTGAATGAAATCGGTCAGTGCTATGGCCTTCGAACCGCCTTTATGGACCAGGGAAACAGCAACAGTGGGCGGCGATACTGACGGCAAAGCAGACGGGGTGCACGACAATACGGTACTATCACGGTCAAGCCTAAGCACTGTGTCTGCGAATACTGAGCGACGCGAGCAGTACGACAATACTGACAGCGAATCCTCAAAGTTGGCTGCAGACGCTTGCGAAGCAAATCTGGCGATCGGGTGATGTGATGAATCTATTCGTGAGAAAACGGGGCAGCGCGGATTCGAGACTACTCCCGGTGGCTAATCAGTCAGCCAAAACAGTTCGATAGGCGGAGAGGGATAAGGTGCCCTAGTGGTAGGTACCTATGTGGGTCGGACGGCTGGAGGAGCCATTTTTACATACAATCTGTAAGAACTAGTAAACAGCAGAATGTGACCAGGGGTTCTCGAGGGCGTGTATAGGATACCCTCTAGAGTAGCTGTGGCGGTACACTACAGTTCTTTCTGAAGTTTGTGCGGCGAAGCGCCTAACAAATTTTTGGTAACACAAGTCACGAAGCTTCGCAAATGGGAAACAGAAAATGGCGAGATTCGTGAAGGCTACTGACGCTGTCGCTGGAGAACCCTTGGTTACTCAGATTGTCGACACCTGGTTACCACCTGGTAGTGCCACGACGGAACAGGGCCATAGGTGTCGCGGTGTTTGTTCGGTACTAGCACAACTGCTAGGTTGGAATTTGGAAAGGTGACTATGTCACTGGAGGTGTTTGCTCCGGGTTTCTAGGATGTATTTGTGGTAGCGTAGGGCAGGTCTAGGCCGCGTAGACTGAGCGAGTCGCCGACCTGCGAACCTTTCAATAGTCGACGGCGTAAGCCGAGCGAAGAACAAACCTCCGAACAAATTAATTTGTGACGACACCGAGCGATCCGGGAGGAATGCGTAGGGTGGAGATAGAAAGAAGTGACAGGAATGCCACGTCTCGCTGAGTCAGCGAGAGGGTCTGGAAGCTGAGTGAGTGCGGCGGTGCTGCGGGAGAGAGGAGGAGCGGCGAATCGCGAGCGAATGGGAGTGGGGAGCGGAGAACGGGAGTCACGGTAGGAGCTACTGACGGAGAGCTTTTAGAAATAACAAGGGAGGGAGTGACGGGTTATGTTACAATACCACCTGAGTCTGACGGCACTGTAGCGGAGCAGCCATATCGCGGAAATCAGAGGATCTGGTCGAGGAATGAAGTGGGTGCGTCGCGACTCGTGAAGGCTACTAGTAGGAGGCGAAGCCTAGTTCCTCCTGGTCGTAGAGCGCGCGACCCTTTTGAAAATTCTCAAAAGAGCGACGCGCGACAGAAGCAACATTCTGAGAATACGGCGACGGGATGTAGGCCGACTGTGAGTCAACGAAAGCGTGACGAGGACTGAAAGGGTTCTACATCCAAGAAAGGTATACATGCAGAGATACTGTAAGGGCTGTTTCCCGGAATCCGTCTGTAAATACTTATTGTTGCGGGCTAGGTCGTAGGAGTGCTAGCAGGAATCTAGCTCCGCGACGTATCTAGGTCTAGCAGGAACTTAGGACCAACTATACTAATCGGACTACGCCACTACGCCACCCAAGTTACACAATGATCGCTTTATACTAGTTCCTACTATAGCTTAGTACATCCACCACCCAACACGTCAACTCCTGTGCATACTGCTGCTACACGACAACGTACTACACCCAACCCAACCACACTCGCGCCGCGTCCTCGTTATCCCCCCCCGTTACAATCCCACTCCATCTCAATGGGTCCTCTCCGCGATCTACAGTACCTTCTCGAACCTTCCTCGCTCGCGCTCGTCGCAACCGCGCTCGCCGTCGTTCTCCTTTCCGCGTTCCGCGCGCTCGCGCACGACCGCGAATCCGAGCGCCACCGCGACTTGTCCGCTTCCGCCATAACCCTAGACGCGAACCGCGCGCTGCTGCTCCCGCTGGCGAGCTCCGCGTCGCTCCTGCTCATGTTTTACCTCTTCGCGACGGTTTCGCAGCTGGTTACCGCGTTCGCCGCCGTCGCGTCCGCATCCGCGACCTGCTTCGCCTTGTCCCCGTTAGTAGCGTGGTTGAATACGTCGCTGGGGCTGCAGGATCCGTTAATTACTGTACATTTCCCGTCGTTTTCGCTATGGAATGGCCAACGCAGCAACAGCAGCAGCAGCAGCAGCGTCAGTGGTAGCAGCAACAGCAGCAGTAACAGGGGTGAGGTTGGCAGTTCATTACTAGGCGACAGCGTGAGAGGAAGAGAGAGCAGAAACGGCAGCGAAGGAAACAACAGGAACAGATCAAATTCTTCCACTGGCAAAACCACCACCAGCGCCACCACAACCACTACTGGCAGCACAAACAGCAGCACCAGCAACACCAGCAACACCAATACCCCCAGCTCTGACAGCAGCAGCAGCACGGTGTTGGGGGCAGTGACTCGCACGCAGCTGCTGCTGGGAGGGCTGAGCGCTGCTCTGGTGCTGTCCTGGCTGGTGTCGGGGCACTGGCTGCTCAACAACGCACTCGGTGCGGCAATCTGCGTGGCGTTTGTCAGCCACGTGCGGCTGCCAAATGTGAAGGTGAGATGGTAATTGTGTGGTATGCACTCAGGCACAGGTGAGGGTGGTGGCGGCAGCAGCAGCACGGTGTTGGGAGCGGTGACGCGCACGCAACTTCTGCTGGCAGGGCTGAGCGGAGCACTGGTGCTGAGTTGGCTGGTGGTGTCGGGGCACTGGCTGTTGAAAAATGCACTCGCTTTTGTCAGCCACGTGCGGCTGCCAAATGTCAAGGTGAGACAGTATTGCTGTTCATGGTATCAGTGTTGACAGTGCTGGTGGTGGCGTGGCTGGTGTTGGGGCGCAGGCTGCTCAATAACGCACTCGGCGCAGCTATGTGTGTTGCCTTTGTCAGTCACGTGCGGCTGCCAAATGTCAAGGTGAGGCAGTAAAGCTGTAGCAACAGGATGACAAGGTAACAGTGCTGATGGGGTGCCGAGTGGAATGCTGGTCTGGTGGTGGCGTGGCTGGTGTCGGGGCACTGACTGCCCAATAACGAACTTGGTGCTGCCATTTTGTTGCTTTTGTGAGCCACGTGCGAGGTGACTTTTGAGTCGACTCAAAAGTCACTGACTGCCCAACTACGAACTCGGTTTGTGCAGCCATCTTTGTTGCTTTTGTCATGTGCGCCTGCCCAACGTGAAAGTGAGACAGTAACATTGTTTGTAACCGGTAACAGGATTAGTGCTGGTGCTGAGCTGGCTGGTGTCGGGGCACTGGCTGCTCAATAACGCACTCGGTGCTGCCACTTTGTTGCTTTTGTGAGCCACGTGCGCATGCCGAATGTGAAGGTGAGGTAGTAACCGTGTGGTGGCATCAGGACAAACAACAGGGTAACAGGGTATTATTGCTATGCTGGCTGCTCAACAATGCCCTTGGTGCCGCCACCTGTGTGGCGTTTGTCAGCCACGTACCACTCCCCAACGCCAAGGTGAGGTGAGTTAGTATTGTCGTTATGGCGTGGTAATGGCGAGTCTCCCGTTTCATCACAATGAAGCATGCGACCTTATCCAAGCCTGAATGCATGATTTCTTTCGGGGGCAATGGAACTAATTTTTTTCGCACCCAGCCTTGCCTGATTCCTTTTGGAGAATTCAGTAGCCAGCAAACACGTTTCGAATATTTGTCGTCGTATAACATTTCGAGCCAGGTAGCATGCCGGAGCAGACTCAGAAAATTTGGGAGGCTGAGAGTGCAGCAGCAGTTCCCCAAGCTAGTTTCACACCCACAACCTCTCCCACTCACTCGCTCACTCGGTCCCATCTTTCACCCACTTTCTCCCACCCTCTCCCTCCCATGTTTTCCCCTCCTGCTCCCACTGCCCCACCTGCCTTCTCTTCTCTCCCTCTCCAGGTGTGCGCCCTCCTCCTCGCCTGTCTATTCGTGTACGACATCTTCTGGGTGTTCTTCTCACACCCACACACACACTGTGCACTCCTCAACCCCCTCTCACACTCATCCCATCTCAGGTGTGTGCGCTCCTCCTGGCGTGTCTATTTGCGTACGACATCTTCTTGGTGTTCTTCTCACACCCACACCCATCCCACCCATTCATACCCCTCCCTTCTTCAGGTCTGCGCCCTCCTCCTGGCGTGTCTATTCTTGTACGACATCTTCTGGGTGTTCTTCTCACACCGCTTCTTTGGAGCCAACGTGATGCTCTCAGTCGCCACGCAGCACGCCCACAACCCCGCCCACTCCGTCTCCCAACCAGTTGCCCACTCAGTTGCCCACTTGCTCCCATCTTCCCCCCTCGTTCTCCCACCTCTCCCCTTCATAGTTCCCCCTTCCGCCCCACCACCTGCCTTCTTTTTCCCCCTCTTTCTTCAGGTCTGCGCCCTGCTCCTGGCGTGTCTATTCTTGTACGACATCTTCTGGGTGTTCTTCTCACACCGCTTCTTCGGAGCCAACGTGATGCTCTCAGTCGCCACGCAGCACGCCCACAACCCCGCCCACTCCGTCGCTCACTCTCTCCACCTGCCCTCTGCTGTAGCAAAATCGATCGTGAGGGAGATTGAACTTCCCGTGAAGCTGCTGTTCCCGAGGGACCTGTTTGGAGAGCTGAACATCTTCGGGAGGCAAGAACGA